GGCCTTTCCGAGGTTCCCGAAGTCGGCCGAAAGAATGGAAGGCGCTATTATGGCAGGCGGAGACATTTTATGCGAACTCTGAAAATCACGCGGCTGCGATGGCTTTTGCGTAGTGGCAGCGAACACGAGCGCCCGACTAGGAATATGGGATTACTGTACCGGTACAGTATCCGTACAGTAGAAGGGGTTCGGGCAGAGGGTGGAGGTGGAGTGTGTGGAGTGGTGGTGGAGGGGAGAGAGAGAGGCTTCGTCGGCAGGGCTTAGGCGCCCGTGATATTGGCAGATGGGCTGGTGTGACGGGATGCCGGGGCGGAAAAGCTCCACCCCATAGTTTTCCCTGTCTCTTCGTGCTCCTCCCATTTCATTCCGAACCCGGCCATTCCCAACAACGCTGAACAAGAGTTGAAAGCACGGCGGCAATGACCAGGCAGAAGTCGCAAATTGGGTTTGCTCTCAAAACACTGGCCATTATTCTTCCCTCGTAGGGCTAGACAGACGGTGGCAGTGCATCCGGATATGGTTGCGTCCGATTGAGGAGCGTGACCGTTGCGTGGCACAGCGACCAGTGGCTGAGAAGAGCTCTCGGAAACGCACTGGCAAGAAGAAGGAAGCGTCATACGGTACGGCAGGAGGGAGAGGGGAACAGTCGATTTTCCGGAGCAACTTCCTTCTCTCCTGCGGCTGCTGCTGTCCACCGCACTTGCCACATGAGACGGGATGAGCCACGAAGGCAAGAGCAATGGAGTGAATGCGCTCCGACATGGGAAAGCGCTTTCTCCACCCCGGCTGCGTACGAAGTATCCGTATCCTTGGCCCAGCCTCAAATGCCAACCGCATATCGCAACCGCAGTCCAGACCGCCGGCCGCTTCAGGAAAGACCGGATAGGTCTCCTCCATATTTCGCCTCTGGGGGAAAGAGACATGGACTCATGGTCTCGATGGGGAGGGGCAGCGCCTTCTCCTTCGGCCGGTGCTTGCTCTTCCCAAGACTTCAACAGCCAATCCGCTCAACCGCTGTGGTCAATCGGAGAGGTCACGACCGACGGTTCCTTCCGTACAGTAGCCGCCTGGGTAGTATACGGAAGGCTCATTGGACAAATGTGGGATTGGCGGGGCACTCACCGGCCAATTGCTGCTCACCATCCACTGCAAGCCCACGCTCTGAATAGACCCCTGTCCGGCGCTTCGAAGCAAGCCATCGCCAATCGTCATCCGATGTCCTTTCGATCAACTCCCCCCCCCCCCCCCCCCCCCCCCCCCCCCCCCCCCAAGCCTGATATATCCCCATTCTCTTCCCTCTCCGCCCAAATTCTTCCCAGTAAATCCCGTGTTTCTTCGTCTTTGCTGCTTTTAATCCTTCGCTTCCAAAAGCCCGTCGTTGATCGAAAGGGCTCTCATACAGTGTTCGCGAGCTGTTGACCAGCTGCAACACCCTTCGTTAAATACAACCTACTAATTCAATAGAACTTTGTAATTCCACATCCCCCCGATCACACCAAAAGAACCACAGAAAACCACCAAACAAAAAGTTCCCCAAATGTCGTCGGATCTTCATCCTCAACCCCACCTTCGTCACCTCAGGCCTCCGCTGGAATTGGGGCACTCTCGTAATACCATAATCGAAGACGAGCCTCAGGTGCTTCAGCAGTTCGTCATGATGCACTCTCCTCGCAGCTTCCGCACGCTCTCTACCATCATGGATGCTTCGCCAGCCGACGCTGAGAAGCACGCCTTTCCCATCTCCTTGAACAAAGAAATGTCCCGTACCGATTTCAACGATCTGTACGATGTGACGGATGACGAGGTCGACGAAATCAAGATCCAGTTCTCCCCTCCCATGGATCCCGATCCCAACCTCACGCCAGAGACGCCGAGGCGATTCCCGTCTCTTATCATCCCATCCCCTTCGCATTGGCCCACAATCCACAATCATCAAAAGCCAAACGACGCTACCTTACTCTCCCCGAACCTCATCTCGCCCATGATTGCGAGTCCCAGTCCGCGAGCACTCAACCATCTGGCTTCCCAGCGGTTTTACGGCAGTCGAGCTCCGTCACTCGACAATGAAAGCTTTACGTCGGAGGAGCAGTCCAATCCCATGAGCTGTCCCGCCACCCCAGACCTTGACCCGGGCAAGCAAGAAATCAGCCAAGACTGGCTGGAAGGACTGCAACAGCAAACCCCAGAGTTGACACCGGACGAGCAACAGAGTAGGGGCGGCTGGTTTTCCCCAGTTCAACTGCATCCGGATGCGCTCCAAACCTTGGCATGCCTCACGGCGGCACAGTCCAACAATTCTTCGCCCGTTCACATCTCTTCCGAGATGCAAGAGGTCTCACGATTTCGACCCAGCGTCCGAATATCAACCGACCAGGTGAACATTACCCCAAGCGAACCGGCAACCGACACCGAGTTGTCGGCCCTCACTGTCCCATCACCTGGAGGCTTCTTTTCCTCACTGGAGCCGAGTAGCCGCACCACGTGGTTTCCCGGCCAGTCGGACGGACCTTCGACTTCCACTGCCGAACAATTTTACGGCGTTCCATGGATCAAAGCCTCCGTTCAGTATGCGCCACCGGTACCCGCGATCCCAGAGCGGTACATAACAAAGCGCCCAGATGACGACGAGGTATCAGACGGCCCTCCCACAGCAATCAAAATCCCCCAGCCTGCACCAAATCAAGCAGAAAACAGTGTGCAGGACCCCTTACCACCCCCAATCTCTACAGCTTCGGACTACGACGAGAGCTACGAACAGAAACGGCTCCAGTCAGCAAACGAGCATCTTGACCGCACTGCAATGTGGCTCATCTCACAAGATGTTAGTATTGTACCGACGGCTGAAGACCCTCCAATGAGCCCTCCACCAACCACTCCACTTCCACCCATTCCCGGGAGCGCCTTTAGGCGGGCTCGAAGGGCTCCAAGGTCTCCAAGCGCGGAAACGGTGATCTCGATCCCGCCAAAATCCGTTCGGTTTGCCGAAGCCAAGCAGACGTCCCCCACCACTTCCATCCCGACGATCCCTCCAGATTCGCCAAAGGAGGACACCTTCCTTCGAGGTTTCGAGTACCTTCAGTACAAGAAATCTGCACGAGACGTATTTGTGCACCGCAAGACGCGCTCCAACAAGCTCCGACTCGACCGACGATGTCTTTTCGAGAATCACGTCCAGCACCTGGATGCGACGTACGAGCTCAAAGTCCCGGAGCGCAAGGGTACTATGCGGCCAACTTCTGAATGGGGTATCCAGGCTGGATCCAAAAAGAGTGGCGCCGAAAGCAATGAAGATGGTACTTCAGGCGGTGGCACGTGGTCCAATTTGCCAGAAGAGCGTGTTGAGGCCATTTTCACTGCCCAAAAAGAGCGTTCTGCCCTTGAGCAAATAAAGCCCGTTGCTTGGAGCCTCGAGGCAGCCAAGATGCTCAATGGAGGCACTCTTTTGACATCTCCAACAGGCCGCACGTTCGCGCGAAAGCCAGACGCAAAGCTGCTCGATCTAGGTGGACACGCCTCATGCGACTGGGCATGGCAAGTGGCAATGGAACATCCAAGTGCCGACATCTACACCGTCTACACAGACGAGCGTGAGCACGAAGCCAGCAACGGAATTGCGGGCCCGGATAACCACACAGCAATGCACATCTCGAGCCTGTGGGATCTTCCCTACGAAGACTGCTACTTCGATGTAGTCTCAGCCCGGAACCTGTTCGCGCACCTCAAGACTCACAAGACAAGCGCGGCAGCAGATGCCGGCATGATGTACCCGCAATCCCCGGCCATCGATGAGTATGACATGTGTCTCCGCGAGTGCCTACGCGTGCTCAAACCCGGCGGCTACCTGGAGTTTGCCATGCTAGACGCCGACATTGTGGGTGGCGGGCAACGCTGTGCTGCCCTGGGTGTTGAATTCAGCTTCTCTCTCCGCACGCGCGGCTACGACGCCGCGCCGACGAAGAGCTGGCTCCCCCGCGTGCGCCGTGCTGGTTTTGGGCAGGTGCGTCGTGCGTGGCTGGCACTGCCAATGGCAGGCGGGCCGGTCGGGCGGGATGCTTACGAGAGTGGATATGAGAGTGGTGGTACCGAAATTGGTACCACCGCCGACGCAAGCCATGTTACCTCTCTTGTGGGCAGTTGGGCGTGGGAGCGGTGGATGTTGAAGCTACATCGCGAGATGGGCCGGGATGGAGATCGGCTGTTGGAGGGTGTGCCAGCGGCACTGGAGGAAGGGGCGCGGACGGGGGCGAGTTGGCGCTATTTGAGCGGGTGGGCGAGGAAGCCCGTGTAAGCTTTTGTTTTGGAATGGTGATGAGGGAGGCCATCTCTATCGCAATTTGTCTTTGGTTTTTCGTTGCCGGATCTATCTCCTACTACATGCCCATGTGTTTTTCCCTTGGCCCTTGGTCTCACTGCGTCTCTCACCTCCTGTCATCAGTTTCCTTGACCATCCATGGCTCGATTTTTTCCCTTCATCTCGTAATCCCTTTTCTGTCAACTTGGTTGAGCAAGCAGGGCCAGAATACAAAGTTCTTTGCTATGCATCGTTCGGCGTTGAGAATGAAATAGTTGACGGGGCGTGGAAGGAGCGTAGGCTAGATGTTTGAAGCAGAAGCAGATTGATATCAGAAACAGATTGAAAATGTACTGGATGGTTTGTTTGACTGGTGACCTTCGGTGATGGATCAAGTTAAGCTTATTTTCTGAGGCCGGACAAGAGCATTGTAGTTCTAGTTAATAGCTACACTCGGATGAACTTCATGCTCGTTGTCATTCCGTACTTTTAAGAGGGAGCCGGTCTAGCAGATTCTGACTCCAACATTAGAACACCCTTCTTCTCATCTCGTTCACTCCATCCGCCACACCTTGTCTCACGCACATTCTCATCCATCCACCAGAACTAACCTGTCATCCTTCCTCTACCGTCTCCAGTGCCTCCAGCGTTTCCGTCAGATCCACTCTGTTCACTTAAGTTGCCCTCACCTCACCCCATCAGCTTCGGTGTCTGAATGGTCTAGTGGTATGATTCTTGCTTAGGGTTTCCGAACCCCGGTAAACTACTGGCCTGCAAGAGGTCCCGCGTTCGACTCGCGGTTCAGACCGAATTTCTCACCTCAATCGAGGTGGCTTTCCCATTTTTGATGAGTTTTTGTACGCGGACGCTGGACGGAGAAATTGGCGGCGCGATGAACTTGTGAGAACATGGTGCAATGGGAAAATATGAGGTGGGGATTCCTGGGATATCAAGCGCACAATTTCGGCTTCCGTGGGGCTCTCTGCTCGCTTTTCGAACATCTCATTAACACCAAGCACCCAGACAATCAGATAATAGCAGAGAACGCGTCAATATTCAATCAAAACGAGCTGTACGTAGTAATACACATGAGAGACCTGCGCGTTAACTAGATTCCGGCACAACACTTTCTCGTTTATTGGAGGTCAGTCCTCGCCACAACAGTAGTCAGCTGATCTCGAGGCGCAACCGTGCGGAAAACTAGGTCGGAAAGTAACGTATCAGTCCGTCAGTAACCAGAGGTATCCGCAGGATCAGGCCTAAGGCCAGGCAACCGAACATCCTTTCAAACAATGTCCCTAGTTAATTTAGCCACCTTGCAGCATCCTCTCAGGAATTAGCAACCGTGCTAGACCCATTGTCAGTTGCAGTCGCCGCGCTTACATGCCCGGAGGAGGCGGTGGGGGCTGGTCATTCGGTGGCTGCTTCGTCAGTAGTTGTTCATCTTCCATTATGCAGAGAGCACTTACAGGAGGAGGCGGGGCATCACCTGGAGGGGGCGGAGGAGGAGCACCGGAAGGCGGAGGAGGCGGAGGGATCGTTGCACTACCGTAGTTCATGTATGAAGGCATGCTAGGCATTCCAGGGGGTATGGCACCCGGAGCGCCGGGAGCGGCACCATAGGCGCCAGGAGCAGCGTTGTAGCCATATGCAGCATACGCATCGTAACCAGGAGCCACGGGAGGGGCAGCAGCCTGCCACTGTGCTGCGGCAGGAATGTTGTACCCAGCAGGTTGTTGGTTATAACCGTAGGTATCGCCACGACCAGCTCCGCTGGCCGACGCCCACGGAGGGGCAGCACTGCCAGCATCACGGTCGTTACGAGGCTGCGTCCACGGCGCAGGACCACCAGGCGGAGGGCGCTCCCATGGCTTGGCGTCGTCGCGCGGCATGTCGTGACGGCCCTGGCCCGACTCCAGAAGCTGCTGCGCACCACCTGAAGACACGCCTCCGGAGATTTCGTGCATGAGCGACTCGAGCTCGCGGTCGACCACGTCCGCGGGCCCGATGCGTCCCGCAGGGCGAGGACCACCACCAACACCACGATCGCCGCCGCGCCAGTCCGTTCCGCGCTGGCGGTCGGGGCAGTCACGCGCCATGTGGCCGGCGTTGCCGCAGACACGGCAGATGATGTTTGCAGTGAAGTTCCGTTGCTCCGGACAGTCGTACTTGCGATGTCCGATTTGACCACCTGTCTCGTTAGCCAAGCTCGCCTAGTAGAGAGGCCACGTACAATTCTGGCATGCTTGATTCTCGTCATCACGCAGCGTTCCGTTCAGTGCAGCAAGCTCGCGAAGTTGGTTGCGTTTGAGCTCGTTCTGGCCCTCCGGGATGGACGCAGCCTGGTCAAGAATTAGTATTTGAAAGGAGGAAAGAGAGATTAAGTACCGTCTCGATGATGTTGTTGATCAGTTTCTTCGCCTTGTTGACCTTCTCCTCGGTGTCGGCCATGATTAGACAGTGCAAGTCTTCTTCCTGGTTGCTGGTGTGAGCGGCGTCAGAACGGCCCTTGCCCTCCTTAACGGAGCCTTTGCCGCGAATGGCAATTTTGGCACCGGACTCGCCCTCCATCTTCTTGAGTGTATTGCCACGGGGGCCGATCAAGAGACCAACTGTTAGTAGCAAAGAAGCCCATGTGTTAGTGTTTGCCATTTATAAAAAGAAGGGGGAGATATCAGCCTGCAACAGCGATATCCCATGTGTAGTTAGGATGGAATCGAGGGTTAGCAATCATACTGAAGTTAATCTCTGGGTAGTCATTGACAGGCACGTAGACTTTCTCCTGCGTCTTGGTGGGCCGACGGTAGTCTGGCGGCGGGTTGTACTTCGGAATCGTCTTCATTGCCTTCTCGACAAGTTTGTGGCGCTCATCTTCGAGACGCTTGCGGTAGCGAGACTCGCGGGTGTTGACGCGACGACCGAAGTTGTCGTACTGGGGCGGCGGCGAGGGAGATCGGTCACCATCTGCAGGCACAACCTCGTTGATGCGCAGCTTTTGGCTGATCTCTTCGATGCGCAGGTAGAGCACATAGGCATCAAGCTGTTCGCTAGTCATGTGTGCCATGACAGCCGTGGGCAGACCCATCAGACCGGCCGCCTTGTTCTCGCTCGCGTCGCCCCATCGGTTGCGCTTCTTCCGACGCTGGCCGCCTTCACTCTTGACGTCGCGAACCGGGCTACGGCCGCGCTTCTCGCCGATGGACGGCGGGGGAGGAGTTTCGCTTTCAATCGAGTCGTCTCCGCCAAAACGCCGACGATTGCCGAGAGGTATGTTGTTGGACCCGGTAATTCCTTGAGCACCACGCCATGCCATAACGACGGTTGGGATGTGTTGGGATGGCTAGGTGGTGCGAAATGGAGAGGTAGGGTTGATGGCGAGTTAGTGAGTACGATGGAGAATTGGGGGTTGAGGTCGAGGAGGAGAGAGGGGCGGGCGGAACGCCAGCTATACTGCAGGAAAGAGTGACATGAAGCTTGGCGTCACGTGATACATTCAAAGGTCATGATTTCGTGCGATTCTTCACACTCGCTCCGTCCAAGCGCCACCTGAAAAAAAGTCGTAGCCGCCTTTCATGGGAGGTTTTGCGGATTGGAGTGGCCGCGATATTCTCAGGTGGCACGGGAGGCCCTTGATTTGCAGCCCTGAAGATGCATCCAATGGGAACAAACTGATCTGGACCAAAAAGTTGTAGCAGCCTCCCCTCTTTGACTTAGCGCGAGTTCAGCGCAATGACATTTCCCTCTACCGTATTAGTTCTAGTTCGAGCCCTGGATGGATGCCCCTGATCCAAGGCGACCTCATGTCCAAGATTTTGAAGATGCCGTTTCATCCGACTTTCTGGACTTCCATTCGGCCAAAAGCCATCACCCGTAGTCGCCTCTGCGCGTCTGTTTGGCGTCATCCACTAATCATGCACTCACAAGCGGTAAACTGGCGGCTAAACCCCAAAGGCCCCACCGCCTTGCCACCTTTGGGCATGGGTCTTTGACCTCGTTTGGTCCCGCGACTATCGAGACCGCCGCTGTCGGCTGCAGCACTTGGAGTTTAGCCGCCTTTTGCATCTATTTCCCGTCAGTTGGCTGCATGACGGCACCTTGCGTGTGCCGGCGCGGCATCAATCCGCACTCTGCGTGCATTACGCGATGGCTCTGATGCATGGCATATCGGATGGGGGGGTGGGCGAGGGCGAGTCCTTAAAAGTAGCGGCCATGTCCGAAGAAAGATGCAAAATCAGAAATTTTATTCTAACTTTCCTATATGACCATGGATAAGGAGTTTAGGCCTTCAGAACATGTCAATGATCACCATAAGAGCGATATCGTTGATGTTGATGTCGACTTAGAGCAAAATGCAACTGATCTCAAGGTTGCGGCTCCGAGCCAGTCAGCGGATGAAGCCTCATGCGATGATGGAGCTCGGGATAAACTTCCATTTTCTAGGGCACGGTTACTTGCTCTTGTTTTTACACTCACCGGGGCTGCTTTTCTGAATGTGAGATGACCATCCTGGATTGTCCAGCGCTATCTGACTCTATTAGACTATGAGCAACCAAGCCGTCGTGATAGTCTTGCCGAGTATCGGAAAGGATTTGAACATCCCAAACAGCAGACAGCAGTGGATTGTATCTGCCTACGCCCTACCCTTTGGTTGTTTTCTCCTCCTCTGGGGTCGGATTGCCGATTGCTTTGGAAAACGGCTCATCTTCATTTGCGGATCTGTCTGGCTCACAATCTGGACGGTCGTTCTTCCATTTGCTCCAAATGAAATCGCCTTTGATATTTTCAGAGCCCTCCAAGGTCTTGTAAGTACGTAGGCATCGCACCACCGGCGGAGAGCTCACAATGCCAGGGCGCGGCGGCCAATGTTCCTACCGCATTAGGAATCCTGGGCGTGACGTTTCCGCCATCGAAGGCTAAAAACTATGCTTTTGCATGCTACGGGGCTGGTGCTCCCTTGGGATCCGTTGTTGGAAACATCTTGGTAATACTCCAACCTTTCAACTGCCCGAATAATCATTGACGTGCATCTTAGGCTGGCGTGATCGGGCAGTACACCTCGTGGAAATGGGTCTTCTGGATCTTCTCTTTCCTCGCCGCTGCCGTAACTACTGCAGGGGTTTTCGTCATACCCAGACCACCTCCTTCACTTGCTCCCAGAGCAAAGCCAGATGTCGACTGGGTCGGGGGAGGGATTATCACTTGTGGCCTCCTTGCGCTCATGTTTGCCCTTACTGAAGGGAACGTTGTCGGCTGGTCGACACCTTGGATTCCTGCCCTGATCGTCGTCTCCTTGATCCTAGTTGCCGCCTTTATATGTTGGCAATGGTACCTCGAGACAAAAACCAACCGCCGACCTTTGATGAAAGTCTCAATTTGGCGGAGTCTCCGTCTCCGTGGCGCCATGGCCATCATGGCCCTATTCTTCGCTTCTTTTAGCAACTTCCTCGTTTTTACTACCTACTTGTAAGTCAGCTTATCACTTTTTAACTAGCACCAAGCTAATATCTATCACAGCTTTCAAGAATACCAAGGCCTCTCAGTTATCCAAACCACCCTCCGGTTCATCCCCACAGGCGTGGTTGGCCTGCTGACGGCCTTCACCACCGGCATCCTTCTCGCCCATATTCCTGGAATGTACATGCTAATGTTCGGCATAACATGTATCGCCATCTCGTCTCTCCTCTTCGCTCTTCCCATTGCCCCAAATACAACCTACTGGGCCTATGGCTTCCCAGCCATGGTTTTGAGCGTCTTGGGCGCAGATACTATTTACCCCTGCCTAACGCTCTTTACCGCTCACACCCTGCC